TGACGAAGTTTTCTCCCCTGTGGTAAAACACACTTCCATTCGTGTGTTGCTGGCTATAGTTGCTCAATTTGACTTAGAGCTTGAGCAACTTGACGTGAAGACTGCTTTTCTGCATGGCGAGCTTGAGGAAACTATTTATATGGCCCAGCCCGAGGGCTATTACGTAGAAGGCAAGGAAGATCATGTTTGTAAATTGAAGAAATCCTTGTATGGTCTGAAGCAGTCACCAAGACAGTGGTATAAGAGATTCGACAGCTTTATGATAGGGAGCGGTTATCATAGGAGCAACTATGATAGTTGTGTCTACTTCAGGAAGGGTTCAGATGGATCCTTTGTCTATCTTCTCTTGTACGTGGATGACATGCTCATTGCTGCAAAGAACATGTCAGAAGTGTTGATCTTGAAGAAACGGCTCAGTGAGGAGTTCGAGATGAAGGATCTGGGTCCTGCCAAGAAGATCTTAGGAATGGAGATTCAGAGGGACAGGAAAGAAGGGAAGTTATATCTCTCACAGAGGAGTTATATTGAGAAGGTGCTTGAGAGGTTTGGCATGCAAAACGCTAAGCCCGTGAGTACACCGTTGGCATCCCATTTTAGACTTTCAGCTCTACATTCACCTCAATCAGAGGTCGAGGAGGCTGCGATGTCTCGTGTCCCATACTCCAGTGCAGTCGGTAGCATTATGTATGCTATGGTATGCACTCGTCCAGTACATTGCGCAGTGCGATTAGTGTGGTTAGTAGATATATGGCGCATCCTGGAAAGGTTCATTGGCGAGCGATGAAATGGATACTTAGGTATCTTAGAGGCTCCGCAGAGTTGGGCCTAGTGTTTGATAGAAACAGTTCTAACGGTACCTCAATCGTGGGATTTGTGGATTCCGATTATGCAGGTGATCTCGATAAGAGGAGATCTTTGACTGGCTATCTTTTCACACTATCTAGTTCGGCTATTAGTTGGAGGTCAACCTTACGATCGACGGTTGCTTTGTCTACTACGGAGGCAGAGTATATGGCAGCAGCGAAGGCGTGAAAGAAGGTATTTGGTTAAGGAATCTTGTTCAGGAACTTGGGCTACAGCAGGAAGACAATTCGGTTGTCTTTTGCGACAATTAGAGTGCTATATACTTGATTAGAAATCAAGCATATCATGAGAGGACTAAGCACATCGATGTCAGGTATCACTTTATTCGAGAGGCAGTTGCTGAGAGAAATATGACAGTAAAGAAAATTGGTACAGCTGACAATCCTGCTGATATGTTGACCAAGCCAGTTCCCGCCAACAAGTTTAAGCATTGCTTGAACTTGATTGGCATGCTCAGTTGAGTTTGCCCCTTCTGAGGCTTTGGTGGAGAGGTAAATGACAGTTCTACATTTGTTTTTGAAGTGGATATGTTCTTTCGTTGCAGCCCTTGTTTCCTACACCGAGTTAGCTCACGTAGGCTTAGGGATGCCGAGAGAATGTGTTCGGCTTCTTGACTGTTTTATTTTGGGAAATTCAAGCCAAGGTGGAGATTTGTTAAATATGTCTTGAATTTTATGTTCTCGGTCCGGTTTAACACCCGACCCGACATATTTTTGTGCGACCCGAAAATTGAGATTTAGTTCGCGACGCGGAGAGTTGGGCCGAGGAAATTGAGATTTATGGCGGTCCGCTCGAGCTGGAGCAACGAACCAATGTTTCGGGGGGTTTGGGGGCGTAGCCCCCGAGGAAATTTTTTTGGGAGCACTATTTATACCGCGGCTAGGTTTTCTCATTGTAGAGAGAGAGAATTTTATTTTCAGAGAGTTTTGTAAGCCGTGAGCTTTTGTCGTTGTTTTGACTTCTGAAAACTGTACTCTCTTTGATTATAGTGGAATTTTGTCTTGCCTCGCCCGTGGACGTAGATCACGTTGTGATCGAACCACGTAAATCCTCGTGTTCTGTATTTGCTTTTCCGCGTTTGCTACAACAGGATGCCCCGTAGGTCGGGATGCCCTGGGGAGTGTTTCGGGATGCCTCGGGAGTCGAGATGCCCCGTTGGTCCGGATGCCCCGGGTGTGTGCCGGGATGCCTCGGAGTTGAGATGCCCCGTTGGTCGGGATGCCCCGAGAGTATTCGGGAGGATGAAGTAATGAACCTAATCGCATGAGCACGAATGTTTTACTTCATATGCTTGTGGTTGAGTGAAAGTATTGTGAAATGTGGCATTGCTCAGACTTTGTGGCACATTCAGACGGTAAAGGTATAACAGGCATTCGAATTCTATGCATACTGTTTATTATGCATGTATGTGGTTTATGCCAGGTGAAGTGGTAAGCTGATTTTCCTAACTTAAAACTAGAGACTTCATTTACTGGGCCTCGGCTCATCCCATTATTTTTTCAGACATGTAGGAGTGGACAATCTGCTACCAATGCTTGCTGGTTTTTCCCTAAATACTATGAATGCTAGTACGTTGTGATGCTTGTCCCGAGGGCGGATATAATTTGTACTAGATATATATCTACTATATGGGTTGATGCGGGATTTTGGTTGATATGAATGCGACGACATCTACGACTCATTGTAAAGTCTACTTTTGTGCGGGCCGTCTTTGGAGTAAATTGTAGTATGGAGATAGGCAACTTCGACCTACCCAGATGTTGTTCTTTGTGATTTTATGATGTATTGTATGGACTTGTAATTCTCACAAGTGTTGTTAAGGAGAAGCAATAGTATTTTGACAAAACTTATTCAGACTTTGACTTTCGCTGGCCAATTTATTAATAATATTATTTGGTACGTGTTGCGCGTGACGTTCTGGGGCGTCACATTGCTAGCTACCAACTTGCCATTGAAGGATGTTTCGAGATAGGTTTTCAATTTCTTTTCCCAGATTAAGGAGAGCCTTTTCACAATTTCGATTAATTTGAGAACCAAAGGTTATTATGTCATTGATCTTCGAAGTTCGAGATCGGGAATGATATAGATAAGATTTCCCAAATTGCCGTTCCATCGAGCCAGTCTATCGGTCACACGAGTCCTTTGATGGGAGTTAGTGCTGTCAACTCGAAACCTCTTCAATTCTAGATCGTTCAAAGATCAAGCAAAGCAACAGTTCATATGAGGACGCGAAGCAAGGTCAAGTCATTTCCTTGGAGACATGAAATTGGATGAATATAGAGATGGTTAGCATGGTCTCAGCATAACGACGCGACACTCACAAACGAAGTGGTCACATTCAATTGACCTTTGGCCCCAAGTCAAGGAATATATGTGATGGAGAAAATGTCTTGTTTTTTTTCCAAGTGAGCATTGAAAGTGGGTAGCATGAATTCCATAGGAAAGCATAACTCAAGGCTAGTTCAAATGGATGAGTTGTCGGGCTCAAGCTTAATCTAATTTTGTAATTCAAATCTCTACTTTTTTCCCATCTCAATTTTGTGGTCTTACGATCAAATGCCAGACCAATATAGTTTGGGCCGAGCTTGCTAATGTATGATATTTATTCTATAGTTTATTCGTGTAAACAATAGGAACATATCATATAAATTAGAAAAAAACACCTTTTGGTTTATGGATCATATGTAGACCGAATCCATCTCCATTGTCGATTGCGTGGATCCTCTTACGAGACTCGTTAATTAACGATCGAGATGAAATCGATTCGTATAATTTACAATCTACACGATAAACTCCGTTGTCTCATATATGAATTTTGGAAAGGCGGTCCATATTTTTGTGGGCTCCAATGCATTATTACTCCAAAGCTTTTGGCCTGCCACATCTTTGATGCCCGGTTGCTTGCGCACTTTCTTTCCTTCGTTAATTTTTCACCTTCAAAAGGCAAACTGTGTGCAAGGGATTTTCATCGGTTTGTCATCGATTTATAAGACAAGTGATTATCAAGCGGTCATGTGATAAATCATTATCATTTTCGATTATATTAAACGGCGCCCATTTATGCAAATATTTCATCATAATCCGTCACATCACTTCACTTAAAGAATAGATTCTAAACATCAAATCATGGAATACGTGTAGAAAATTGCTCTTTCTCAAAACCTTCCGAACAGTAGAACATGTGAAGGAAAAGGGAGTTGGGCCGATTAGGTGCGGTGCGGCTAAAGTAAATTTTTTAAATGACACCGTCCAAAATATGATGGAGTACTTTAGGTAATTAACCAAAGTGACAGTGACACCAAAAGCGCGCGCATATCTTTAGTCCCTGAAGAATCGTTGTCTAAATCAACATTGATAAATCGAAAAAAAAAAGGAAAGAAATGCGAGGGCTAAAATTCTTTAAAAAAAAATGCTAAGAACTCATCGCCAAGCATACAAATTCAATTAGAATTAGAGGTCCCATTAAAAGCTAAAGTGTCGAGATTCGAACTTTTTACGATCTAGACTTTGATATCACATTAGAAAAATAATTTCCTCAGAAAACCCTCGAGGCCCGACGGGACTATGAAGTCTATCTAGCACGTTTATTAAAAAGAATCGACCCGTCAAGTGGAAGCCACTCATATTCCTTATTGTACCTAAATTAATATATTATTTCACCTGGGATGCGACCAGGGCGTTCGAACTTCTTACAGCCGTGATAATTTTGCCACGTTTAGAACGTTGGACCGACCGCACGCGTCGCTTGCCCACGTGTGGGGGCACCAAACGAAGAGAAAAAAGGGCGGGCCATACACAGAAATTCCGGTTTAATGAGAATTTAATATTGCATCAAGTGGATAAACACCAATACCATCACGAAACGCGGTAACATCAGCTTCATGAAAAAAATATAAAATCCTTACGTTATAACATATATATTATATTATATTTGCGTGTTTTTGCAGCACGTGAAAGAAACAGCAATATCACACAGCTAGATTCCATGTAATAATGCCCGTGCATGACTATGCATTGCTCGGACCCTTTGTGTGACGCAGCTTTCTTTAAATGCCCACCGCTCTCTCCCTTCTCAACTCTCACCACACTCTACTGTCTCTCTCTTCTTCTCTCTTCTCTCTCTTCTCTCTCTCTCTCTCTCTCTCTCTCTCTCTCTAGATGAAGAGGCCATTGATGGAGTGGGGAATGCCCGAGCAAAGCATCAAGGAGATTCGCGAGCGAAACAGCAAGAACGACAGATCATCATCATCAGTTTCATCAGCATCAGTAGTAGCTGTTGGCCTGAGGATCCTGACGCAGGTGTCTGAGACGACCAAGCCCCACATAGTCGTCAAGCCCAAGGCAACCGCGAGCCTCCACCACGTTAAGCCTCGCTCGCAGGCTCGATCCCGGAGTAACCCTAATCTTGAGTACTCCTGCTTTCTCAGGACGTGCTCTCTGTGCCGCAAGAAGCTCAGCCCCGACCAAGACATTTACATGTACAGGTATAGCTCCGAATACAGTGCGCTCAGATCCAGGATCATCTTTTGGCTGTTCTTGTCATGCTAAGTTGGGTTTCATCTTGGATTATAGCTGTTCTAATTTGGTTTGAATGACTAATGAGGTGTCGCGATTGTTATGTCGATTCAGGGGAGATGAAGGATACTGCAGCGTGGAGTGCAGAGACAGGAGGATCATGATGGACGAAATGAAGGAACTGGAGGCTTCCACCAAACGGATGGTGTCGTCTCCCAGGCATTGCTACTCCGCTTCCCTCCAGAGCGAGACCCGCCTCCTCCGTGAAGAGCTCCAGCGACGGCAGCGCCACCTAATCACTCCAAAAACTCGGACCATAGTCTCATAGCCCTTCCCTTCTTCTTCTTCTTTTTTTGGGCTTCCTTTTATGTTTAGTGATGAGGAATTAGCGTACCGCGTTCTTAGCAAAGGAAACTCTCCTTTTTAGAGTGTTACAACAAAGGAAGTACTCCCCAATTGAAATATTGGACATTTTGTGGACATCGAAATCCAATTTCTGCTTTTTCGTCAGCATAATATTTGGTGTATCTTCCATAATTAGTTCGGGGTTATTGGTGAAGTTGTTAGATTTCCTTTCCTTTCCCGTCGAGCAATACCTTGTGTAAATGTTTGCACTGTACGATAAGCAATACAATTCAATTACGAATTTTCAAACATTTTTTCTTTCACCTGAAATTGAAAAAAAAAGGAGTTGTTATACCATCGTCGTGTATATATTTCATTTTTTTTGTCCGGGATAATAATTTCGAAAATAGATCCAAGCAGAGTTTATATGGATTTGAGGATTTTTTTTTTTTGAAGTCCCAGCTATATGGGGCTGATACAACGCACTGATATTTTGCGCTGAAAGCTTTTGTCCCTTTCCTTGTCATGAACGAAGCAAACATCATATGCTCTTTGTCAGAAGGAGGAGCACGATCGATGCAAGTTTGATTGAGATGGAGATATCTTTTCCTGAGTAATGGTAGATTTGCCCAAGAGGTTTATCTAGTTATTTTTATGAGTGGCGTGAAGAATGTCGAACGAGTTTGTACGAGTTAAGAATTTTGTTTTAACGGCTCGATCGTTTCGAAGCGAGAACCAAAGTTCCCCGATTCGATTCGAGAAGGTCCTTTTCAGGAAAAATGGTCCGTGCCGAAAGAAGAGGCGATATTTTTATTTTTGCCCGGATCAAACGGTCAAACCAACGATATTTTTAGGATTTTACTATTTTTTATTCCTTTTGTGAAAGAAGTCGTAAAGCATGGTCAAAAGAAAAGGTGTGACGGGTAAATTATATTCAAATGTGATTAGCAAAAGATTTATTACATCAGTGGGATGAATGCATGATGTAATATCAAAAGTATGTAGAAAATTGCTCTTTCTCAAGTGACAGCGTTGTTAGCGCTACATCAGCATTTTTTCCTCACATCTAATCATATTTTGACGCGCGTTAGTTGACGTGAAATTAAGGGAAAAAAATAAAAGATTTTTGTTGTTCCACCGGCCATGGACCTCAAACTAGCCGCCTGCCATCCTTGTACACCACCACGCCAGAGGCCGAGCCTCCATATCTATCCAGGTCGAAGATGAAGACGAAGAAGACTACACAGGCCGAGCCTCCAAATCGACTCCACCTTCACTTTCTTCAAGCTCGTCCATGGCCGCCTCCAGATCTGGTCGAGCTCGACTACACCTAGACATCATCCGCCCCAAAACAGTTCGAGCTCGACGGCTCTTCCATGGCCGCCGAGAATCGATCACAACATCAAGCTTGGCAGACATAAAAGGCCGTCACCTCCAAATCTAGAATGTCAACATTGCCCAGATATGGCCGTCGCGAAGGTCGTGACACGACCTCGAGTTGCAACGATGACAGCCATTAGAGGTCAACTTGAGAGAGGGCATTAAAAGTTGTAAACGGCCATAGACAAACAAAAAATGGCGTGTAACAACAAAGGGAACAAAGAAAGAGCGCAAGCAATAAATGTTTACTTGTAAGAGAATATGTGTAAAGAGGATCTCATCATTTACGTTACAAAAAAGAGAGAAAGGAGAAAGAGAGCGCGCGGCGCTTAGGCAGTAAATATTTGCTTGTGGTAAGTACTTTCCCACATAAAGACCAACCAGAAGAGAGAGATTTGGTGCTTTTGATTGAGACAAACAAAAATTCAGGTCAGAATTATCACCCAAAGTAAATTTGGTGCTTTTTTTTTTAATTAACCCAAAAAGAATTCGGAAACAAGAATCATGAGTAATGACGTCAATTTTTTTCCTTTGAAAATTAAGAAAAGAAAAGAAAAGAGCAAGTCATCAAGGTGAAGAGATGAGAATAAATGCTCTCCGAAGCGGGCTGTACATACATGCTTAGGTGGCTCTTAGGTGGAACTAGACATGTTAAACATGTGGATTGGGTCGGGTTTGGATCAGATCATTAATATACATGCTTTGGTGGCTCTTAGGTGGAACTAGACCTATTAAATAGGGGAGTTGGGTTGAATTTGGGTTGGATCATGATTCAGCTTAAATTGACATGTATAACTCGTTTATGATCCATTTATCGCAAGGCAAATTTGTCAACCCATATCTATACCCGACTCAAATCATACCCAACCCAACCCATTTAACTAAATCTAGGAAAGCTTATTTTTGCTAATTATTTTAAAAATTATATTGCTAAAACATTTTCATGCAATACAAATTCAGTGAAAAATTTTTATATATTTTTTAAAAATTATTGAGGCTTCGTTTGTTTCGAGAAAAATATGATATTTCTGGAAAATGTTTTTAGGAAAATGACAATGTTTTTTTTAAAAATATATTTTTAAAAAATCATATTATAATTATTTTTCTTTTCCTTTTTCCTTTTCTTTTTTTCTTTTTTCTTCTTCCCTGTCGGTGGCTGGCCACAAGGGAGGGACGAGCTCGTCGGCTTCTGGCAAGCTTCGAGCCTCCCCAATCGAGCGAGACTCAAGCTCGCCATCGCTCGATCAGTGAGGCTCGAAGCTCGCCAGAGGCCGATGAGACCTCGGTCTCGCCAGTTGGCGAGCTTGAGTGTTGCCAGATCGGCGAGCTCGAGCTTCGCCGGCCTCCGGCAAGCTCGTCCCTCTCTTGTGGCCGACCTCGGTGGAGAAAGAAGAAAAAAGAAAAAAAGAAAAAGAAAAGAAAATTAATATAAAAATAAAAAATGACATGTTTATTATTCACTTAAGTTTGTTGGGTAACACATTTGTGACCCATTTAATATCCATTAAGTTAATAGGCAACTCATTAATGACCCATTTAAGTATATTTTGAAAACTAAATCCAACCCATTTATAACTCACAATAATTAAACATGGATTAATATATAGGTTCTCGACCCATTGACCACCTTCAGGTGGAACAATTTTTTGGTGGAGGATGTAACCAATTCATTGTTTGCAATAAGAATGGAGATTTTCTAAAAATCTAGGAAAGTTATAAGAAAAAAAGTCCTTAACATATTGTATAGATGCCGATTCAATCTTAAACTTTTTACTTTGATCAATTTAGTCATAAATCTTTTGACGGTCTACCAATGAAGTTCTTTTAGCAAATTTTGGCTGAAAATTGCTGAAGTGAAGGTCGGCCATCATATGTGGCACAAAAGACGCTATCGTAGACGATTTTCACAATTTTTTTCTTTTCTTTTACTTCTTTTTTTTTCATTCTTCCTCCACCGGTCGTTAGGCCTCGGACCGTCGCAGCCTCGGGTGAGGGCCATGTTGGGTGAGGGCGTCACGTCCCTCCTAGAGTCTGGCTAAGGTCAACCCTCGCCAGAAGTCGGCAACCGGCAGAAGAATTAGGAAAAAAAAGACAAGAAAAAAAATCGTGAAATTTTAAAGTAATTACAAAATTGTCCACATCAGTACTAGTTGTGCCACGTAAGATAGCCGACAGTGACTAGACCACCGCGTCAGTGATTTCTAACCAAAATCGTGCCACGTCAGTACTAGTTGTGCCACGTAAGATAGCCGGCAGTGACTAGACCACCGCGTCAGTGATTTCTAACCAAAATCGTGCCACGTCAGCACGTGGTGGTCTAGTCACCGCGTCAGCAATTTCTGATCAAAATTGACCGAATGGACTACATTAGCAAATCGTCAAAACGTTTAGGATTATGTTGACTTAATTAAAAAGTTTAGAACTGAATTGACATTCATACAATATGTTTGTTTTAACTATCCCCTAAAATTCTAGAGTCCTATGTGCCATTATAATAGGTGGCGTTTTAGGAATACTTTGGTGTAATATATTTACTAGTCATAAACCCATGACAAAAACAACTCATGCACACGTAATATTCCTTTCATTGTAGCATAAGTCCATTATGATTATATAACAGTTGTAATAGATAGATCCTATGAGCAAGTATCATACAAATATTAGATGAGAATTTTTATCACTATATAAAGTTGTAAGAATTGAACGAAAATTACAAAAAAAAAAAAGTTCATTGTTATCATCAGCCTTTTCTCTTTTTGTCTTTCATTTTACACTCATTTGCCCTTCTTATTGTGCATCCCTGTTTAACTTCATACAAAACATTAAATGATCCACGAATTTCTAAATTTTTGAAAAAATAATTTATTTCTCTTTATTGTTCACATATATATAACTTTCATGAGGAGGGGGACAGAAACTCAATCCGCCAACTCGGCAAAATAGAGCTTTAGGAGGGAAAATTGTCCGAAAATTCATAAAAGTATTGTACTTTTGTCAATTCACTTCTAAACTTTTCAATTTTACCAATTGAGTCATAAACCTATTCACATTTTGCCAATTGAGTCCATCCGACCGATTTTGGCCGAAAATCGCTACTGCAGACGTTGACCGTCCAACGTGCTAGTCAAATGTAGCTGGACGGACTCAATTGGGAAAACGTGAAAATATTTAGAATTCAATTGGCATAATTGAAATGTTTAGGACTGAATTGATAAAAGTGCAATAAGTTTATGATTTTTTGTATAATTTTCTCCCGATACATGTATAAGCCTAATAAGAAAAAAAACATGAAAGGCTCTCTCTATTATATGGGTCATCCAAAAGACTGTCAACATGGAGCTGAACAAAGAAATAAGATCAAGAAAATCCAAGAAGAGAAAAATCAGAACCTATGAGTAAAATCTCATACTATGCTCTGCCATTGTTGTAGCCATCATCTCCATTTATGCTGTGAGAGATCTTCGGAGTTGAAGATGCTGTCTTTTTTCTCTTGATCACGATGTACCAAGTGACGGCTTCCAGAATCGCTGCGCCGGCCCCCAAGAAGGCGACGATCCCGATGTACGCGGTCCGCCATTTCTGTTCCGGATCCTGTATGTCCAACCCCTTAAACACGTTGACGATGCTCAAGACGATCACGGTGTATCCGACCGTGTGGTGGTACACGTTCCAGTAGAGCCTGTACTTGTGATCCTTCTTGGGCCGCAGAAGCAGAGCGAATCCCTGCAGAGCACAGCCACGACCAAATTGTCATACGTGAGATCATGTTGAGTTCACGTGCACAGACAAGT